TAAGAGTATTCCTTCCCGGCAGAGTGGCCCTCTCTTCTGTGTCCTACAGTACTTTATCACATCTCTTTTACAGCAAAGATGACTTTTGCATCTGCATGCGGTACCTGCCTTGGTGATAAGTTGTTAAGTGCCAGTGAATAAACGCATGTATGCGTGAATGAAGGAGAAGAGCATTTTAGGAGGAATGGTGTTCAATCAGGTCAGCTGCTATGGCGAGATCATGGAGAAGAATGAAGAGAAAAGCGATGGGATTTTGTAGTAAGGCAGGTGTTGGTGACCTTTGAAATGCTTGCTTCAGCAGAGTGACGGGCAGGAAGCCCAGATTGTTGGGAGTTAGGGACTTCCAACATGATGAAGACTTGCACGTTTCCAGAGTTGCTTATTGACTGTTTATCTGAACGTGTGGTAGAAAAAGAAGTTCTTGGGAGAAATAATTAAGTGACCTTAGGCCAGTTACTGACCCTCACGGAATCTGTGATCTCCAAATAGGCAGTAATAGTAATACCTTGTGTTTTAAGTTTTTTTAAAGGATTAAACGAGATTATTGTAACCCTTTAGAATGATGCCTAACAGTTAGTACTTAAATGGTCATTTCCTTTATTCCCCTTCCCCGTACAACAATAATTTTTATTTATTAATGTTGTTGATGGCATCCATCACCCTTTGCAAATTTGTATGAGATATGAATTGTTCAGGATACCCTCATTCCAGTCACTGGAGAAATTGTGAATTGCATTTGGCCTGGAACTAACATACCTTGTTGGACCACTGACAGCTCCTTTGAAATACATGTTATCTAGCTGGAAGGACACCCCAAAAAGGTACTTGTCTTAGTTAAGGCTCTTTTAGATACAAATTACAGAATCCTACCTCAAGCAGACATAGAGAGAGAGAAGGGGAGAGAGAGCTTTTGTTGACTCGTGTAACTGAAAATTCTGGGAGGGTCGAACCCTCAGGCACTGCCATCTCTGTATCTTCTGGATCAAACAACATTGTCAGTCCTTAGTCTTTCTCAGACCATCCTGTGGCTCAACTGTCCTCCATGTGACTCTCATTCCCAAGCATGTTTGCCAGCTACAAATTTCAAGAAGAGGGAAGAACTCCCTAGTATTTCTAACTGAAAGCCTGGATTCAATATCACTCTTTAGACTTAGGTCACTTGCCCATTCTTTTCTGCTTTTTTTTTTTTTTTTTTTTTGCGGTACGTGGGCCTCTCACTGTAGTGGCCTCTCCCGTTGCGGAGCACAGGCTCCGGACACGCTTGCTCAGCGGCTATGGCTCACGGGCCCAGCCACTCCGCGGCATATGGGATCTTCCCGGACCGGGGCACGAACCCGTGTCCCCTGCATCGGCAGGCGGACTCTCAACCACTGCGCCACCAGGGAAGCCCCACTTGCCCATTCTTAAACTGGTTGTCTTGGCCAAGGAACTGGGAGGTACTGGTTTTCCAGGCCTGGCTTCAGGATTATTCTGTTCTATGAAATAAATGGTACTGAGTGTAGGAGAAAAGGGGTTCCCTGAAGGGAAATCCAGTTTCTGTTCCCAGAATGAAGGGGAGGCACGGCAGGCGAAACAATTGATATCATATTATTGTACAGACAAGTGCTTTTCAAATTGTGCTTCTGGGAACTCTAGGGGTCCCACTGAGATGCTTAAACAGGAGGAAGGGAAGAAGAGGGTAACGCGTGGTGGGAAGTTGTCAAATTCATGCTCACTCGAGCTTTATTAAGAGTAGCTTCACTTTCATATATTTTTATACCCAATTTCTGGCTAAGATTTCATTTGAAAGTGGAATTTTGGCAATACCATTGAAATAGGACAATTTTAGCAGATGGTTAGGTCCGTAGCTCATAAAGGTAGATGACCATCATTTTCCCACTCCATCCTGCTGAACAAGTTCTTGCCCTACCTTTCCTTCGTTCCCATTGGCCCAACTCATATTACTAACCCACCTGAGATCCAGACTTGAATCCCCCAGTCAGACATAGGAAGAGCATGACATTAGGCAGAAGTCCAGTTCTCAGTTTACTGTTATTGTGACAGTTTAAAAATTGTTACTTCACCCTTTGCCGACCAAGGAGACGTCCCCTCCCAAAGCTGGTGTCAACTTGGTGACGCAGTACAGTCCAGCAGTTATAAAGCAGAAAATTTGATTCATTCAAGAAATTTGACCGAGCATAATCTTTGATGATATGTTTATGCTGAAATTTGCAGTTGACATCTGCAAGCTGAGCAGTTTAATTTTTCAAGCCTTCCTCTGTGGCTCATCTCCTAGGTAACTGCTGCTTAAATCACACCCGTGGGACTTTTTCCTTATCAACTATTGACTTTCTTTAACTATTTGGCCCGCCCCTTCATTTTCCATATCAGAGCCCAAAATGTAGCTATTTGTGTAAATAAAGTTTTATTGGAACATAGACATGCCCATTAGTTTAATTTAAGTCTGCTCTGTTTTCCCTCTATAGTAGCAGAGGTGAGTAGCTGTGAAACACGGAGCATGGCCCATAAACCTAAAATGTTTACAGTCCGGACCTTTACAGAAAAAGTTGTTAACCTCCACTGTATATTTATGTGGCCTATTTATTTATGTGTCTTCCTACTTCTTGACATGTGGCATGCTAAAGAATCAGTAATGTCCTTTTAATACTCTCACTTTCTGACGGTCTCACAAGCATATATAGGGAAATACTTTTGCTTTTACCTGTTCCACCTGTGCTCTTTCAATTCTCTGAACAACTTCTCTTTGTTTCTGTGCCCTCAACAGTTTAGTCCTCTTCATCTTCTAAAACTTCCAGCCCTTTTTAAGGAGTGAGAGGGAGAGGGGTGACAGCTTTCCGCCTGGCCCTAGGACACACTGATGCACACACCTGCATATACTTAATGCATAGATACAAGGTGCCGAACACATGGACAAAAATCAGGTTTGGTGTCATTTTATTTCCCCTCTACTCATCCCTCCCAGTTTCATATTTGTTGTGCTCACAGCGGTATAATTTTGTGAAGAAGTGCTTGATATGGGCCAGGAAGGTTGATAAAGGGAAACGGAAGAGGAGATTTCCCTTGACCTGCGTGCTGGATTTCTGTAAGCACAGCAGCGACTCATCAGAAGGCTGAGTAGTTAAGCTGTACTTGAAGAAAAACAGGGATAATAATACCTCTTTCCTGCATTTTTGCTGTCTAAATGCCCTGTGGAGCGAGAGAAGACTTCAATCCCTGCGCTGGTGAATCCCTTATCTTTCCCAAACGTTAAATTAATTTTTAAAGCTATTTATTCAAAGTTGACTTAACCACTAGAATAGGAAAGATCAGACAAATCAGCTTCAAGAAGTGAAGTATGAGGAAACGCGAACTCTTTGACAAAGTATTCCTGGGAGTAAATGTGTTGAATGAAGCCAGCGGGTAAATGATAAGGGCCTTTACACTGTGGATGTAAGAAGGCAATTTATCAAGAGTACATGAACTCTCCAGTGACCACAAGTCAGGAGGAAACGAGAGTGGAGGAGGAGCCCTAAAAAAATACACTTGAAATACTAAAAAGTGTGAGTGTGTGCGCGCGTGCACTTTTAAATACACACATTAATATGCAGAAATACCGGTGTATTAAAAGAGGAGCTGCTCAGAGTGTACACATACGGTAGCCTGTGCTGTTGGGGAGAAACCTTGGGTGCTTGCAGGTAGAGTTAGGATTTGAGCCTGGTGGTTGTTGTCTGATACCCATTTGCCAGACTCATGAGATTAGATGACCATCTTTCAGGCTCACGTGTTTCTCTCTTTTAATCTTCAGAAGGTCATGTGTACAATTCTGATAGTTGAGCTAATGCTTTTGTGTTCTCTTCAGGAGTTCAAAGCACCTCTCATTCGTTATCTCATTCATCTTTTCAGCATCTCTTTGAGCCCTGTAGGTGAGACAGCACTATCTTAATGGGTGACTTTAGAGAAACTGAGGAAAAATGTCATCACATTATCTGCAGTAGGGTTCCGGGTAACTCAGATAAGGATGGGGATGAGAATGTATGGCTTTATCTTGGCTTTCAGAGCTAGGGAGAAGAGATGTGATTTCTTAGATTTGAGGAGAAAAAAGCCTAATTGTTGAAATATTAGTTCCACTAAAAATATTTACTCTGAGAATGGTCATCCCCAGTTTTCTGTGCTGAAATGACGCAGCTGAAATACACAGAAATTCTTGTACTTTGATTGTAGTCATTTTTTTTTCCAGTTTCATCTCATGCTGAGCCCTTGTCAGAGCTGTTAATAAAATACCTAATTATGACTTGAATTCCTTTTCTTGTTTGTTTCTCCTGAATAACTTTTAGAGAACATTGAACTAACAGGTAAACAGCAAGAGGGGAATTTAGGAGAATTAAGTTTTGGGATAATTCCCCTTAGCTAATTCAGCTTTGAGGTAAATGACTAAGTCCCCCGACCCAGAGGTCAGCTTTCCTTATTCCCTCTGAGTTAGTCCTTTTTCCCCTGTAAGTCTAAAGAACACCTTTCTTTTCCTCTTCAAACCATCCAGGTATCATAAGGGGTGAATCTTACTCAGAAAAACGATGTTGGTTGAGCCCGCTCTTGTGGCCGAGTTGGCAGTTTTGTGCGTGTTCCTTCTTTTGGTGCAGGGAGGGGAATACCGCGGTAACTTGGGTTGAGCCATAGTTCAATTAGCAAATTAATTAGTCAGGTTTTTAGCGCCAGCCACAGTCATTTAGAAACCTCCTCAGTGGCTCTCTTCCTGAAAGCCAAATGTATTTTGTATTTGCTGTCGTCTGCAATTTATAAACACACGGAATCCAAAAAAACAAACAAACAAAACCGGGAGGAGGTGGGAAGAGCACTATTTACATTGCACAGTCCCGCTGAGACATCTGTGATTATGATCCAGCTATTAGACATGGAGCCCCCTGTAACTTCCGGTAACTCGTTTCTCCTTTCTTTGTCTCTGCCCTCTCCTTTTTATCTCTTTATTCCCACCTGCCCCTGGACCTCTGGCGGGACCACCGCAGCCTTGGATAAGCTCAGCACGCAGCACCTCTACCACCCCACCCAAGTGGAGATCGTGCAGTCCAACGTGGTGTTTGACATCAGCAGTCTGATGCTCTACGGGACGCAGGCGGTGCCTGTGAGGCTCAAGATCCTGCTGGACCGTCTCTTCAGCGTCCTGAAGCAGGAGGAGGTGCTGCACATCCTGCACGGCCTGGGCTGGACCCTGCGTGACTACGTCCGGGGGTACATCCTGCAGGTAGGGGGAGGACGTCAAGCCGGTGTCGGGGGCCAGCTGGAGAAGGGCTGGGGTAGGAGCCCTCGGCAAACCTGCCCTCCTTCCTGCCCCTCACAGGCCCGGGCATGCACACCCCATTCTGGTTAACGTGGTCCTTTTGGCAGGCTGCTCAGGGAATTGGAAGAAAGGAGCTGTGGGCCAGCGGGCCGGCATCCGGCCTCAGTGGTGAACGTTAGAAAGGAAATAGTGGTCTGTTGCCTAGGGTTGCTCTGTTTGCATTCTTTTGAATTCAACTCCCTCTCTCTACAACGCGGGCCTCCTGGCTTCCCCAACAGGCCTTATCGAAGCCCTACTAAAAGGGAGGGTACGGAGGAGGGTGATGGGTGTGCGAAAATCTGAAATTGCACTTCATCTGGGTTTCGTAGGGCTGGTTCTCACGCTTACTTGGTAGGTTTGGTATTTTCTTGGTTGTCTCTTCTCTGTACCCTAACCATTTATTGCTTCTTCATCCAAGTCAAAGGAACAACTCTGTAAACTCCCTGCTTTTGTAATCAGTAAACCCTCACATTCCAAAACATGCAAACCTGGTTGTAGATTTGGCCTTCACAGCACCTGTTCCTCCAGCTTGAGCCCCTTCTGTGTGTCAGGGGCACTTCCGGTCTGGTAAGAGTCTTGAGACTTTTCCGAAGGGCCTGCAGCCTCCACTCCCCATGCCCCCAGCCTCCTCGCCTTTTCCATCATTTTTTGCCGTATGTCATGAGTCGTTTTGCATTGTGTACTTTGCCTCTGAAATGTTTTTATGGCCATCTGTCTTCCCACGACCCTTGAAGGGTAAATGTTTGAAAGCAGCATGTTGGGAGACCCCAGGATCCAAAAAGACTACAGTGGACGATGAAGAAATACTCCCTCCTGCCAAAGGAGATCACAGTTGGAGAAGGTAGAATCTGAAGTGATGTTTTGAAATTTCTTTTGGGGGATAATACCAGGAGAATTGACCCATTCAAAAAAAAAAATTGGTTTTGGTTCTGCCAGCCTTGTTGATGGCCCGAACCACCCTGTGTTGTGTGTGAGGCTGCCAGCTTGGTATGTGATGAGTGGGGGAGAGGGCCTTGAGTCTCGCCCTGGCTTTAACCTGGCGTGGACACACACACGCTCCTGTCGTTCTCCTGTGTGGTACCACCGGGTGTTAGCCAGGGCGAGCGGATGAGGGATGCTGAGTGGAAGTAGAGAAAGGGGGAAGGTAGGATCACCCGCCTGCTCCCGAGACTGCTTTAGTTAGCGTAGAATCATGTCGTAGTGAGACGTCAACTTGGAAGGCACAGGGCATTTGGCCCTCAGAAGATGAGATGGTGCTGATAACAGGAATAATTATATATTACGTTTTCAGTTTATATAAGGCTTTCACAAGCATTCTCTCATTTGCCCCAGGTTGGGGACGTTTCAGTGGGGTGAGTGGAAAGTTAAGTCCTGGGTGATCAGGGGGTCCTGAGGCGGTGCAGGGTCCAGGAGGAAGGGGCCAGGAAGAACAAAGCATGGAACCAGTTCCACAATCCCCGCTTAGGCCAATCTGGTGACACACGCAGTGCCACGTCTTTCTACAGTTGTTTCCAAAGATGATTATTAATGTCCATTTGGGGTGGGTTCTACCCTGCAGGAAGGGACAAACCTCTTGCAGCTTTCTGAATGGCACTGTCAGCTTGGCTGAGCACTCCTTCCTTTATAAACTGTAGGGTAGTACATGCCCCGACCTCGTCACATCTTTACTGCCTCCAGTGCAATGCTTCGTTCTGTCACCAGTGCTGTATTTCAGGTCCACGTGTCTATTTTTGCCTGAGATAGCTGGACCATACACTTGATCTCTTACTGTTGAAACACAGAGATACGAGCATGACTGTGATTAATTGCCATCGGAACCACCCAGTGTCCCGTAGCATTTTGACGGCAGTAAATACAGAAGCTGCTCGTTCTGTGCTGTAGTCCTGATGTTCTGCCTTGAACGGTGCCTGTTCTTTGTTTTACTTGAAATTATTACTTAGGTGTTCATTTTTTTCTCAGCATTTCCACGTAACTGTTAAGACAGGCGTAGAAAATGTACTCCATATTTAGTTTTGTGTGAGGGCCTAGGATTTAAAGATACAAAATTACAAGAGAAATTAAATTTCAGAGGAAAATTCAACAAAACCACAAACTAATAGTCTCTTATTTTGGGGTGAAATACTGCCTAATAAAGAACACTGTCACTTATTGTGATAATTATTTAATTGCGAAAATTATAATTAATTTTCATTAATGTCTTAGAGATTCTGAGAGTCTCAAATTTAATATAATCTGTTTTCTCCACTCAGGGTCTGAAATTGGCATTTTGAGAAAATCATAGATGATTTTTATATTCGAGGAACACTGGGTTTCGTTTCTGTCTTGTTTTATTGGTAGTACTGATGTCATATGGATTTTATTTAAATGATGCTTTTTGTCATTCAGCATTTATCATCTACTTGTTTCTTGTGAAAACAATTCTTGGTTTAGGAAAAAAGCAAGAGGTTGAAGGACACAATACTGTTATTTATGTAGTGAGAAGATGCTCATTTCATTAAAAAACAATAAGCAAGAACTAGACTATAGAAATAAACCTTTTTTTCTCTAAAGCAATGTTATTTGATTATTGGCCAGTACTTTTAAAATTATATATGGTATGCTCAGATGACTTTGAATATAATTATATGTAACATTTTTGAGCAGGTAGACTATAAAATGTGCGTCCAAAGGTTGTGGAACCCTATAATGCACGATTAGTGTACAGGTCATTTTATCTGGCTAAAACTCAATTGTCTTGTAGCCCTCAAGGCATCAATTTTAGCATTATTGCTCTCAACAACAGTATATTGAATATTATGTCAGTTAGAGGAGAATAATTATCAAGGCAAGTTAGGGTGGCTGTTAGTCTTACCACATATTGACTTGGTTAGCAGCTGGCTATAGATTGTGTTACTGGGCAAATGAAGATGTACAGTAAGTTGAACTGGTGAAGCCAGGATATTAATTTAACTCTCTCTGGGCCCAAACCTACATCCCTGACGTATAAACACAGCCACTTCTGGTTTCAGAAATAGTTTCGAATGTGGAAGAATAGCAGTGTCTGATCTGATTTTGAATTTTTGGATTTGGGGGGAAAGAAGAGCTGGCCATTCAAACCTATCCTTTGCAGGCGTGTTTGAAGAGGTTATTAAAAGAGAAAGGGAGATGATTGTGGGGGCACAGATTTATTTGGGGCTAGCAATATTTTCCAAGGGTCCTGTACTGTTTCTGTAAAAATTGCTTTTCACTTATATGATTATCTGTGTGATTCATAAGCTAACCAGCTGGCTAAGACTTGCACTACAGTGACTTAAGAATCCAGGTAGTATCTTAAAGGTGAAGAACCCAGTATTCTCCTGTGTACCAATTAAAGTGTTCATTCAGAAAGTACCAGAAAAGTGAAGTAAATTTTAGGCATTTTCTCACAAAACAGAAAAAAGGAGGAAATAGGTAATTTGATCCTAAAAAGCAAACTGTAACGGAACATGAGATATTTTTTTCTGCTGCTGAAGAGTTGTTCGTATTTCAAGTCCACATCTCACAGTACGTTTATTCACAGTGAATAAAAGCAGTGTCCTGTTCTTTCCCCATTTTCCTTGTCTTTGGCCTAGGATATAAGAATATGGGTGATTATCATTGTTGAATTTAATCATTTAAAAATCAAGTGTTCACACAGTCTCTTTGCAGTTTGAACGTGTAACTGACTTGCCTGGGTTCATACGCCAGTCCATCTGTGGCAATCTCCTCCTTTGCAAATGAGTCCTGCCAGAATTCAGGGAACCTTATCAGACACTCTGAATAATTAGCTGAGGTGTCAGCAGCCTGGTGAGAGGACGAGCAGTGATGCACATTTCAAGTCACCTGTGCCTTGAAACAATCAGGACTAATAGAACAATCAACACTCTAGAAGAACATTTCCCAGAGTAGCCTGGGTGCATTTGTCTTCTGGAGATCCGACGTGAGCATTAGGCGGACCTACACTCTGGATCCTTTCCTTAGAGCCTAGTGATAACATTAGCATAATAAAGGCTCTGAGAAGTTGGTTTCTGAGGATAGATAAGTAGCTTCCACCAACCTTACCCGCTTCATAGCCTCTTCCTGTGAAGCTCATCAGAAGTCTTCCATTCCTGAACACACTCAACTCTTCTTCAACTTAGGGCGCTTGCATGTGTGGATTCTTCTACCTGGACTCCCCTACTCGTCTCTCTGCATGGGCAATGCCTTGTCCTTTGGGTGTCCGCCCACTTTTTCATGGAGACCTTTTCAGTCCAGCTTAACCCATGTAGGTCTCTTCTCATGTGGCTCTACCTCAGGATTCTGTATCCCCCAAGCTCCAATACAATTTAAAATCAGTCAAGTCAACTGTTAAAATGTTTTTTTCCTGGCTTCCTCACTCAGGAATGCCACAGAGGCAGGGTACTCAATAAGTACTTGTTAAATGAATGGGTAAAGAAACCTGCTTCACTTGATGTAGCTTGACATTTCACCATGGAACCCATGGAATATCTAATGACTTCAGTTGGTCCAAGGGCCCTTAGTCTTTCTTCAGGTGTCCTGGGGACCAAAGGCTGTAATAGCAGCTGGGCCACTGAGGGCAGTAAAAAGAGAGGCAGAAGCTCCCACACACCCCCCCCCCCCCCCCAGCTAGTGGTCTGTGTAGAATAAGTGTTTTGTGGTATCCATGTGGTAGGAAACATCAATATTAAGCAAACACTTGGATTTAAACAGCCCTTTGCGGAGCAAGTTCACATATGTTTCGCTCTCTGAATCCTCTTTCTTATACCACCCTCTTGTAGATATTGCCAGTGAATTAACATTTGTAGCTGTTGAAGCTCGGAGAGGTCAAGTAACTTTTCCATGATCACAGAGGCTGCAGATTGGCACAGTGGGTGTACCGTAAGCTTCCTGAGGATAAGAACCCCTTACCTCTTGTTTGTCACTGTAAC